CACACACAGACAGCCTCTCGACAATATGCGTTTTTGCTGGCTGTAGCAGCAAAAACGCATAAAAACTGTGTCTGCACGGGTCTGTTTCCTGCGGCAGACTTGAAAAAAATTTGATGGCAAAAGATCCTTTCATCCACTTCTGTCAGTCGGAGAAGCTGCGTTAAAAGATATTGTTCAGTAGTTACAGATCACTTGGGAATCAATGCGGAATTTTTGAAATAAATTTGTTTGAAATAATCCTTCCTATTTCCCATATTGCCGTGTATCCCATGTTAGAAATATTGCCGGAATGGTTACACGCGCTGACCGCAACTATGCCAAATCCTTCGATCCTGGGCTGCATACGTCCATCTGTTGATGTATATGCGCTTCTTCTTCAAAGGCTGCCCGACCAGTCGTTTACTTTCGTATGCCAAAAATACTTGAACTGAAGTAAATAAAAATATCTTGAATTTAGCCAAATTTGCCCCATTTATAAGTAAGCTTGAACTCGTTTCCTTCCAAAAAGCAGGGGGAACCCAAAGTCACATGTGCTTTCATCTCCCATCCTACCAAAAAAGCCTTCATGTGCCAAGAAATTTTTGTCTGCTAAAAAGCACGAAAATTGGAATTTTTTAAGGCATTTTTACTCCAGTTTAACAATTTGAAGCTGGCTTTATACCTCACCTATTGAACTCTGAGACTGCCTGGCACTGCAGCACAAATTGGCGTTTCTAACTCATTTTACCTCTCTCGAAGCCATTTTTGTACCCTATCTGTCGAACTCTAAACTATGTTTGGCAGTATTACTCTAAGTTAGTAATACTTGGTTTTCCATTTTTTGGGTTCTAGATGTTCACTCGATTTTTTGGAGTTTTTTTCCTTTTTTTTGAGAAGAACCTAGTCCCATGGAAATAGGAAGGAGAAAAGCTGTGTCCTCATTTTGGCATGTTTATGTTTCATTTCTGTAGTTGTATATTGGGTGTTTCAGAAATTTTAAAGGTGCAAACAATGAATATCTCTGGCCAAGGGGTTGGAAGAGGACGGGAGGCTGATGTCTTCTATGTGAGGTTAGCCCGCTTTCCTGAAAACACTGATGCAAACTGCGAAAAATACATGAGTTGAATTATATGGATAATGTGATGCTCTATCTGGCACCAGTGTATCCCATGTGTAGGATCTTGAAACACAAATTTCGAAATACTGCTTCTTTTTACAGTAATATCTCGATGCACATTTTAATCCTATTCTAAAAGTAATGTGAATGGTCGAACATTAAACCATCACTAGAGAGTATACAGAATATGATTTAATGATGAATCAGTAACTTTATCAGTTATCAAGTTCCTAAGAAAAAGAAAAAAGAACCAATTTGCCTTTTTTAGACACAGAATTTAACATTGAGAAAAATGTTGGGAGATAACAGAGATAATTTCCCCGCCTCCGCCCCCTTCCCCTGATTCTCCTCCCTCCTTCGCACATTCGTTCCGCCTGTCAGTCTTTTTTTGAAAAACTTCTAACTGCACTATTGGTTTCGAATCAGAAAAACTGATTTCTTTTCAAACAGTTTGCAAAACAAAGTTTCAGATTTTCAAAATTTGCAATATAAGATCTGAGAACATACATTCCTGGCTGTTTGAGGCGCTGCTACCAGACATGATCCCTGCAGATACGGAGATGTTTGTGATACGTGAGACGGTTATAATTTATAAAAATAGCTCTTTTTGTCTGGATTCATCCAACACTTACAAACTTCACATTTAGGTGCAAACTATGACTAAGCAAAAACAGGCTACGAGTAATTTTATTTTCTCACCAGGCCCAGGACTGCATAGCTCTAGTTAATGGCCACAAAAAGAACACATACAAACATCGGGTAGAAATCACTGCATAGGTAAGGTAGTTACAAAAAGACGCTCAAAGGTTTGGCACATATAACGTTAAGTACGATTTTCATCGATCAGCGGTGTAGTTCCGGGCCCTGATGATCGTACATATGAAGCAAACTAAGCTAAATTCCTTAGTACTTTTTGATAGCGCCTCTAGATAAATCCAGGAATCCCTAAGTAGGCGGGCCCTTTGCACAGTCATTTTGAGGTGAAGACATTTTGAGGTGTAACTATTCACCGAACATCATCTTTACATTGAAAGGAAAAGAAAGCTTTGGTCGTGCCTGATATGGCTGATGAAAGCGGTCTCTTCACTGTGCGATGTGGCAGTGTGCAGTGGTGCCGCCGAAATTCGCTAATTTCAAAAATCATTCGTCAAGCACAGCGGCACAGCGTCAAGCATATTGTTTGAAAACCAAAGCCCCCTCCATATTCGCTCTCTGTAAAAAAACAAAGACACTGTGACTAGCCCAAGTGGTACCAAATGCCAACAGCAATCACTCGCTGGCTTCCTCTTCTGAGGATTGTTTAGGAGCAAGTTGATAGCGAGCTACCAGCACCAAATGAATAACTGTAGAGAGACTGGATTTTACTCCGGCAGAGTCAAACACTTGGCGGCCTGCCGCAAAGTAACCTATGCAACCAACTCGTCATTGCTCCTGGCCCTCTAACTGTTTGAAGATATGATTTAGAAAAACTGACTTGGTCCCGTCAATGAACGGTAGAATTCGGCCGTAAAAATGCTCGCCTTTAACTTTGGCACTTTATCAGGACAGGATTTTAAACTAGTCAAAGAGAGGCCTCGATCAGTGTGCAGAGTTCCCGGTAATCATGAATCTGGCTGAGCTGGTTCATGATCTACGGTTTATCGAACGCAACACAGTAAAAATATAGAAGTTCAAGGCGGAGAGGCGACAGGCGACATGCTGCACACAACGGAACAACACTTCAACTTACAAAAAAAATCACATGCTTTTATACTTATCACAAGAGCGGGAAAGCACTGGGGATCGGG